TGGGGGATCGTGGCAGAGCCCCCCATGCAGTGTGGGGCAGTGGATGCCAGCAGGGATCGCCCCCTGCCCAGCAGCACCTGCTGAGTCAGGGCTTTTTTTTTTAACAGGAGCTGGGGCAGGTGGGGCAGCCAGTGCCAGGCTGGGGTGGATGGGCCTGCCTGATTCGGCTGCTGCTGAATCGCTGAATCAGATTTGGCCAAATTGAATCAGGACAGCGATTCAAATCACCAAATCAAATTACTGTCTCCCGAATTGTCCAAATCCGAATTCGAAGTGAATAGTAGCCACTTTGCATAGGCCTACTGCCTATCCAGCCTTTTGTTTAAAAACATACAATGAAGGAGATCCCTCATGGTTACACATCAGTGTTTCCAGGTACTGGTTAGGCTTTATTCAGCATTTAAATTACAATTGCAACAGAAAAAGGATGAGCGAGTCTTAAGTCCTAATTTATGGAGGAAGCCCACAGACTGATGGGGGAGGGGAAAAAATACCTACACTTTCAGCTAGATGTCATTTCCTTAATTTAGTTGTGTCACTTCATGCAAAAATATGAACCTACCCTTAATCATAGAACCACTTGCTGTCTGGCTTCACCTTCAGTTGCGTGTCCTGCCATGGCTGGAGAGGTCATCTACGCTGATTTAAATGTTCTTGAGGGGTCTTTTCATGCAAACCTACCAGGTCCATCTCAGCAGCTCAGTAAGTGTGCTTTCCTTTTCATTTTTGTACCATAGTTGGCATGTGCTTTTATTTTTCTAATGTAATTTTTTTTAAACTGCAGCAACAGGTAGTTTCAAGAAATAATCGCTAAGAAATAAAGAACAAGGCTGTGTTTTTGTGCAGTCCTGTAGGGTTTAAAGTTAATGCTCAGAGTGGCTGACAGTCTGATTATAGGACTACTCTGTTTTTATTGCAACACACAGCATAGCAAAGAACATTTTCCATATTGCAGTTGCAGAACATACATATGCCTGAGAAGATGTTAGAACTGATATACTGTTCTAATACTTGCACAGCCAACTTAACATGACAACCAAAACCTAATTAGAATTATGCAAATATTTAACTTTCCTACTAATGTAAATCACAGAAAAAAAAGAAATAGAGCTGGAAGAAACCTCAAGAGATCATTTAATCTGTGCTGCCTGCTCAAAGCAGGATCGTGTCTGTTTAAACCATTCTAACAAGTGTTTCCTTAATGCAGTTTCAATGAATGCAGTCTTCTGTTCTTGGGCTGTCCTGCCAGCTCTGATATTTGCTCACTGTGGGTCTTGGACCAATCCTGATCTCTGTTTTTCAGTTTACTGATCTGTAAAATGGGGATAATAATACTTGCCTGCTGCTGTTAAACTCTTTGAGATTATTAAGTGAAAAATGCTATACCAGTGTAACTGGCCCAATGTCATCCTTACACCAGTATAGATGAACTATCAGATTAATTCTTGGCTTGGGTCTGCTGTTACTTATACTGAAGTAAATTGGATGTTAACATTTATGGATGTTTCATAGTTTCATAGTAGCTAGGATCAGGAGGGACCTGAACAGATCACCTAGCCTGACCCCCTGCCACAGGCAGGAATGAAGGCTGGGTTCACAAGACCCCAGACAGGTGATCGTCCAACCTCCTCTTGAATTTAGCCAAGGTAGGGGCAAGGACCACTTCCCTGGGAAGTTGGTTCCAGATTTTACTACCACCCTAGTAAAATTCTGAAGGGGGCTATCCCACAAATGAGGGAAATGGGAATTGGTGGTCACAGACCATAAGGCAAAGGGAAACCGCTGCAGTGAGTGTAGAGGTTTTGTTTGTTGCGTGGGTGTTTGGCCACCCTAATGGTAAAATATCGCCTTCTGATCTCTAACCTAAACCTATTCTCCATCAGCTTATGACCATTGTTCCTCATCACCCCAGGTGGTGCTGGGGAGAAAAGGGCTCTGCCTATTTGCTGTTGATCTCCCCTGATGAGTTTGTAGGCAGCCACCAGGTCCCCACTCAGCCTCCTCTTGCTGAGGCTGAACAGGTTCAGGTCCCTCAGTCTGTCCTCGTAGGGCCTGTCCTGCTGCCCTCTCACCAAGCGGGTGGCCCTCCTCTCAACCCTCTCCAGGCTGGCTTCATCCCTTTTGAAGCGCGGCGCCCAGTACTGGATGTAGTCCTCCAACTGCGGCCTGACCAAAGTTGGCCTGACCAATGTGATTCTCTCTGGTTTTGCACCTCACCTTGCAAAGTCAATCAAATTTGTACAATGTAAATACATTTCTACCAGCTTATTAATGGGCCATTTCACACAGATATAAATTATTACTCGGGGTCCAAGGCAAGGGGGAGGGGGAATGAGGTCCAATGAGATTATGGAGGTGTGAAAAGACAGAGCCATGTCCCAAAGGAAAGATTTATGTCATATCAATAAACAGCTAATTTTCAGGCCTGTTTTCCTTATTTCACCTGCAGAGTATGGTTCAGTTACAGTACATGAGATTCCTATGGAATAAGATTGCTTAATTTTACTTCACAATTTATTTGCAGACTTGTTATTGCAGAAAGGGAAGGTTTTGTTTGCATCTGTCATTGGCAACAGTATAGCAAAGTCCTGGTCATCTGCTAACACTTAAAAAAACAAACAAACCAAAAAACAAACAAAAAAACAAAACAAAAAAAGCATGTTGATATGTCAGGAGTGCCATTTCCTATGCTGGGGCTGCTGAGCCCAGACATTTCAGGGTATTTTTTTAAGGTCGTCCTTTAAGTATGATGCCAATTTTTTCCTTCTCTAGCTGTTTTTGGGAACCTTTCCTCAGAGTGATTTATTACTACAAGAACTATTGTGTCCTTCACATCATTTCTCTCATGGTTGGGACTCAGTAATATTCCTTTGTCTGAGATCATTTCCAATGTCGTGTTCCAGTCTGCAAGCAATTGAGATCCTTATACTGGCAAAATGTTTTATTATTATTATGACTTTTCAGCATCATACATTCATAAAATCTTAGAAGTTAAAGGTGCAAGGACTTTTCTAAACTCTCCTATCCCATGCAGAATTGTTTCCTATGAAGATGGAGGGAAGGGGTGTGTGTGTGTGTGTGTGTATTTTTACCAGTAGATTTTTTTAAACTGAGGTGGCTCTCCTTTCTCTCATAGTTCAACACCCCTCACTATTGGTAAATGTTTTGTGATATTAAATTGTTTCTCCTTTCTCCTTTTCATTCCTGTATCCTAGTCCTAGTTCTACCCTATATATTGCCCTAAGTAATCCCACCTCCTTGACATTTATATTCATGACATTTGTATTGTTGTGTCCCCTCTTCATTGTTCAGGCAATAAAAAAAGAGAAGTCCTATAACAAAAACATTTAGGATGAGATTTTCCAAATGAGCTGAAGGAACTTCAGCTTCCCAGGACTCTCACTCTTAGGCTCAATTGAGAATTCTGTCCTTTGGTCTTCCAAAGTCTCTGACATTTCCATCCTTCCTGCCTTTGGACGTTCTGCATTTGTTTTTGTCTGCACTTTTCTGATAGTGAAGGATACTATGGGGAAAGCTATATTTCTTCACAGGAGGCAGAGAGGAGGGACTGTCTGCTCAGTGATGTGATGCTTGTGTTTTCTTGTTGGTTGGCAGAGCACTTCATGTCTAATTTCTTTCTCACACTTACCTTTGAGGTCTCTTTTGGCATCATTGTTTCCCTCCAACTGGATACTTGAGTTTTACAGAATTTTTCTAAAAGTGTTTTAATTTGTACAGATTCAGTCTTATGTCGCCCCCCCCCCCCCCATTTTTCTTTGTATCATTTCCCTAACAAGAACATAGGAGCATCAGAGCTGCCACACACAGTCAGACCACAGGGCCATCTTCCAAGGGAAGTTTAGGTTAGATATTAGGAAAACCTTTCTTACTAGGAGAGTAGTAAAGCACTGGAACAGGCTGCCCAGATAAGTTGTGGAATCTCCATCCTTGGAGGTTTTTAAGACACTGCTAGACAAAGCGTTGGTTGGGATGATCTAGTTGGGGATGGTACTGCTTTGAGCAGGGGGCTGGAGTAGATGACTCCAGAGGTCCCTTTCGAACTGGACACCTGTATATCCTTTATTTTTCTCTTATAGAGAAAAATAGAAGACATAAAGGTGTTGGGTTTCATATCAATAGAGAACAGGACAGAGTAGCAGAAAACTGGAATGTCTTCTATAATGGTCACCCTACCTCCAACCCTCATTTTCTATGATTCTATGATCTAGCCCAGTATCCTGATGCTAAGGGAGCATGCCCTGTCTGTGGACTCACCAAGTCCCAGGACTTCCTAGTCAATCTCCTCCTGGCCCTAGCCAAGCTAGCGATTTCCTTGACCCAGACAGAGGCTGTGGCCGGGATGAATCCCAGGGTACTGTGAGGCCATCTTCCTGTCACTCTACTCACATTTCAGGCATCCACAGGTTCTATTGTCTCATTCAGGGGGCAGTGGGCCGTGGGCCATGGGCGTTGGTCAGTGTGCTCTGTTTGGTGTCTCCTTTTCGATCCCTTGTTATTAACCTGTGATCCTTATTCCCTTCCCCATTTTTTCTTTCTTTTTTTTTTTTGTCCCAAGCAATTAGTTGTTGCATTCCTAATGGCCTCCCTTATTACTGGCTTATAGTTTTCTTGGTGGGCCTGGGTTGACAATACCTCTTAACACAACAAACAGGATTCATGCTAAGGGAGCACTCCCTGTTCATGACCCCACCAAGTCCTGGGACCTCCTAGTCAACTTCCTCCTGGCCTTAGCTAAGCTGGCAATATATTTAACCAGGAAGAAGGCTGTGGCTGGGGGGTAGAGGGGATCCCTGGTGGCTGTGGGGCCATCTTCCTGTCCCTCATCTGTTCATATCTCTGAGCAGAGTTTCACTGGATAGTGTCCCAAGGGCCAGTGGGTGCTGGCCATCATGCTTTGCTTGGTGTCCCGTGGAGCATTCATTAGCATTTGACCCTCATTCCTGTCCCCATTTTCACTTCAGTTGCCTCAAGTATCCAGGTGCTACACACTTATTAGGCCATTCTAATAATAGCAGGGGCTAACAGTTTCCTTGTGAGCCCAGCCTCACAGTCCCCCTGAATAACAAATAAGCCTAATACTAAAAAGAAGAGTCTTTATGTAGAACCGTATCCAGACTGACCTGTCCCCTGCCCTGTTCACTTGAGAGCTTTCAGCATTCAGAGACCTAGTGTAATGTGAATATAATGTGTGTCACGGCAAGAGAAACCAGGGGCAGTCTGCAGAGCTGCAGGGAGTGGAGGGCAAGGGTGAGAGGAAGATGAAGCTTGAGGCTGGAGTAAGGGGAAGAGAGAGAGCAGAAGTGTGCACATGAAACTTCATCAGCTCTACACAGAGTGAAAAGTGGAGCTGGAAATCTCACCGGCTCAGTCAGCCAGGACTGGACTGAAGGGGCTGGACTCAGATTTTGCAGCTGCAGGTTGCAGTCTGAACACTTTAGGAACTACAGCCTTGTTTGGGGACACCTCCGAAAGTGTGGGGGGAAATTAAGGTGCTGAGTGTATGTTACCGCAGTATTGATGTTTCTTTACCTTTTACCTGTTCTTCCCTTTGGCCCACTGGCTTGTGACTCTAACCCCTATGATTTTCTGTATAAAAGTGGGAACTCCCCCTTGTTTCTTATGCCAGTTTCTGGGCTGCAGGGTTGGTACAAATTGGTGGCAGGGTGGGATTCTGAAGGGAG